TTCCAATACTTTATTAAGAAGTGCTGGCAGTGATAGATTGGCGGGTGGCCTTGGGAGTCTGAGAAGTGTCAATATGGACACTGCTGGGTTTGTCAGAGCTAATTTGGCGCTTGTGTCAATTGTAAATGACTAGCCACCATCAGTAAAAAGCTGGAATTCTAAAGTTTGTGACATTAGTTGAATGTCTACTATCAGGCACTACAACAACACATTGCTTTTTATTGGAGAAAATCCTAATTCCTTAAATTGCCCTTTAGTCTCATTGAGTAATAAATGAGACTCCCCCCCCTCCCCCCTTTTTCTTTTTCTTTTTTGCTAGGGAGTCCAGACTGATGTTGCACAAAAGTTGTGAACTAATAAAGTTACTTAACCTTTATTTGTAGGCTAACTTTTCAGCAATCATTTTGTCTTTAAGCAGTGCTGCGCTTCCTTGGGAATAGCCCTCTACCCGAAAGGCCACCTGTGTTTGCAAGTTCAGCACCCCCTTCGTTCCTCTTCAGCTCAGGTCACGTCTCAAGGCTCTTTCTTTTCCTCTGCAACCCCCTGACCTTGACAGATGTCACATGTTTCATCCCTTCTCTCCAAAGCTCCTCCATGCACTAAGAATCATGTGAGAAGAAGTAGAATAGCTGTTCTTACCACACTGGACTCTTAAATCTAGGAGGGAAGGCAGGTGTGTGCTGTTAGCCTCCTGAATTTGGGGTTTCATTCACACAGAAGCTGCATATCACTGTGCTGTTTTAGGTAATTAGTAAATTGGGCCGATGTTATTTTTCCAGAGAGCTAGGTTTTAGCAGCTAGTTGATGTTGTGTAGAATAGTTTATTCCGGTTTGTTGGTGCATTCAGGGCTGTTTTACGGGCTCTGATTGACAGTCACATGTTTTCTTGCAGACACGAGTTGGCGCTCTGAGGCAACCTTTCAGTTCACTGTCGAGCGCTTCAGCAGACTGAGTGAGTCGGTCCTTAGCCCTCCGTGTTTTGTGCGAAATCTGCCATGGAAGATTATGGTGATGCCACGCTTTTATCCAGACAGACCACACCAAAAAAGCGTAGGATTCTTTCTCCAGTGCAATGCTGAATCTGACTCCACGTAAGACAGTTTAAATGATGCAATTACAAATCCACAGATAGTTATAATACATTGGAAGTCAAATTTGATTGGCCTCTTTTATTTTTTTAATTTCCTTACTGCCTTTACAGTCCTTTGATTTTAAATTAGATTAAATGCATTTCCTTCTTTAAAACTCAACGGTAGGTATTATATCCAAACTACTTCAATAAAAAGATAGGTGTTTTTCTAGCATTTACAAAACTAAAGTTTGTATGAACATGGAATCAAGGCCCAGTGGATTAGCTGAATACTGGTTACCAGGCTTAATTTCTTTTCAGCAGTAAGTCTCCAAGCGGAAAATTTGGTTAAGAAAAGTTATTTAGGCTGACATCTTTCTCATTTTGTGTTAATCAGTTCATATGGGTCATTCAAAAAATTCAAATGAAAACATTGGAGGGTTCTACAACATGAGCCTATTGGCTTATTTTAGAGAATAAATTATTCATGTAATTTCTAAAAAGAGGTATACTATAAAATGTCCTTAGAAATAAGAAGTGCCTTGGTGGTCCCTCTATTTAGGTGAAGCCAAAGAGTAGAGGTTTCACATTTTCTGCCTACTTCCAAAAACTTTTTTTTACTCTTCTTTCCTTTAATAAAAACTGTCACTGTTCAGCACTTATCAGTTCCCCTAGTTGTGACACTGTTTGAAGGGTTTCCAAATCACTTTGTCACCAAGCTGCTTCCTGGACCACTTCTGCATAGACTCCCTGTCACCTCCTGATTGTGGCTCTTTGGTGCCCCCCTGGGAAAGGTTGTTCCCCAGAGGGCACTGGTTCTAGTTCTGCCGAAGCTCCAGGGAACACAGCTCATTTTATTTTTTATTTTACTTGAATTTTTAGGAAGCACCATGCCCATTTTATGGTGCAGCCAGGGCTGTATTCAGATGAAAGATTCCCCCTCCTCCCCCCCATGTTCACATTGTGATCAGATCTAATGAGTATTGGGCTAGATTCTGGTCTCACAGCTTTAGCCTGAACAGTTGGGAAGCACAGTGAGCCACCCACATCCAGCATAAGGATCAGAGCAAGTGGAGGTGCTGAGGGGACAGCCCGCTGTGCTAGGTATTTCAGTGAGTTGGCAGTCCGTTCAGAGTCCGTTCATAACGTTCCTTTATAAGCTCTACTTGCATTGTAAACCTTATGGTGGACTTGTAAAGTGGCATATCTTTTTGTTTTTTAAAACATTTTTATTGAATTTCTTCAGAGAGATGAAGGGGGAGAGATGAAGAGATAGAAACATTGATTTGCTGCCTCCTGCACTCTCCCTACTGGGGACGGAGTCCGCAACCTGTGCATGTGCCCTGACTGGGAATTGAACCAGACACCTCTTGGCTTATGGGTCCTTGTTCAACTACTGAGTCACACCTGCTGGTGTCTTTTTTTATTTTTAAGCATGGATCCAAAAGCCCTTTGTGTTCTGCCCAAAATGTGACTGACAGCATCTATTGTCATGTTTCTTGGTTGTGATTTGGTGTACCCATGTTTAGAGTTTCTCAGGAGCCCCTGGTGCAGCCCTGTGGAAAGTACTCTTGAGAACTTGACAGCCACAGCACCTATGAGCCACCAGGGGCAGAGTGATGCTTAGAAGTGATGACACCTTTATTAGTAGAACCATTTTGTTCCTATTCTTTTCTTTTAAATGCATTTTTATGGATTTCAGAGAGGAAGGGAGAGAGAGATAGGAACATTAATGATGAGAGAGAATCCTTGATTGGCTGCCTCCTGCATGCCCCCCACTGGAGATTGAGCCCACAATCTAGGCATGTGCCCTGAACGGAATCAAACCTGGAACCCTTCAGTCCACAGGCCAACACTATTCACTGAGCCAAACCAGCTAGGGCTTTTCCTGTTCTTTTCAAAGAACATCAATAGAACTGTAATCTGACCCCAAAGCTGTAGTCTCTTAGAAAATCTAAACATGTATTTTATAAATATACCTATAAGAAACTTGAAGTAAACTTTTGAAAAATTAATAAATTAATAAAACCTATCAGTACATAGAAGCACCCCAAACCCTTTCAGCTTTTTTCTCCGTTAAAGGTAAATTATTTTTTTGTCCTTCCCAACCGCTCCAAAAGAGAAAATAAGTATGGGAATTTTTGTGTGCTGTGTTTTTAAAAATGTAAACATCAATGAAATACATTACCTAAATCTTAGATTATTATTATTTTTTTAAAACAGGTCGTGGTCTTGTCACGCACAAGCGGTGCTGAAGATAATAAATTACAGAGATGACGAGAAGTCATTCAGTCGTCGAATTAGTCATTTGTTCTTCCATAAAGAAAATGATTGGGGATTTTCCAATTTTATGGCCTGGAGTGTAAGTAACAGTGTGTTTAGCCTGAATAACCTAAGCATCATTCCGTGTTACCCTAAATCTTCTATTTTTCAAGGCTTCCTATTTATTTTAGAGTAAGTTGGCCAGGTATCTATATGTGGTTTTGTTTCTTAGCTAAGCTTTTAGCAGCCAGCAGGACTCAAATTTCAACATTTGGTCAAAATTGATAAGTTAGTTAATAGCTTTTCTGATAGGTACATTTGCTTTAAAAGAAATAATACCAGTTTGGGTCCTTTCCTGAGTTAGACATGGTGCAGGTTGTTGTAGGTAGCTTCCTAAATTCTTAAGTCAGTTCATGGTGGGTGCTTTTTGCAGACGTGGAAATACTCCTATCATGGTTTCTCTGGAACCTCCATCCCTGCTTTGATGAGCAGAGGCTGATCCTTTAATTTCTGCGCTCTGGCATCGCACCTCCATTGCCTGTGGGATTCCTCCTCTTGATCAAAGAACACTGCCTAAAATAAACCAAGAACTACAACAGGAAGCATAATTGGGATGCTTGAAAAAGTAGCACTTTAATTTATTAAGCACAGGACACTGGGATAATTTCTTTGCTGGAATGAAGGGAGCATTTGTGTGATCTTATTTTTAAAATTTTTTTTATAGGAAGTGACTGATCCTGAGAAAGGATTTATAGATGATGACAAAGTGACTTTTGAAGTCTTTGTACAAGCGGATGCTCCCCATGGAGTTGCGTAAGTTTTTCTTTAATTGGGTGCTATTAAGAAATGTTTTGTGCTGTAGTGAGGGCAACATTCGCATACTTTCGGAGATGCATGTATTCCACAGATAAGCACCCTCTCTGTGCTGCCCCATCTGCACTCATGGAACACAGACAAGTATGCAGCTTCATTTCCCTGCTTTGTTTGGTAGATTTATAGAGCAGTTTCCTTATGTCTAAGAATATAATTTAGGGTCAACAAGACCGCCTTGGGTTTCTGTCCTCAGAGAATGTACATGCTGGTCTGGTAAAGGAGTAAGACCAGTGTGTAAATAGCTATAGCAGGAGCGGCTCTTTTATTTTGAAGAGGTCAGGGATGTACAGATTTGGGAGCATCAGCATGTGCTGAAGGGGGCACGGTACGGCCCACTGAGCAGTGAAGTAGTGAGTGGGGTGCCACTGAGCTTAGAGGAGGGCCTGCTAGGAGGCTTCTGTCACTCATCCAGGAAGGTGTGTGTCCAAGAGGAAGTGTTGGCCTTAAAGAATGGATTGGGTGACGGGGTGATGAGGAGGGACACTGGAATTTGGGAATAGGGAGAATGACGTGAGTGAAGACTCCAGCAGGAAAGTTTGGGATTGGGCAGAGTTATCAGGAAAGTGTGAAGAGTAGAACTGAAGACTGAGATGAAAAATTGGGATCATGTTATAGAAGACAAACACTTTTTTTTTTTTTTAATATATTTTATTGATTTTTCACAGAGAGGAGGAGAGAGGGATAGAGAGTTAGAAACATCGATGAGAGAGAATCATCGATCAGCTGCCTCTTGCACACCCTCTACTGGGGATGCGCCCGCAACCAAGGTACATGCCCTTGACCGGAATCGAACCCAGGACCTTTCAGTCCCCAGGCCGACGCTCTATCCACTGAGCCAAACTGGTCCTAAAGACAAACACTTTTAAAATAAAAATATATTTCAAAGAGGAAGGAAGAGGAAAGGGAGAGAGAGAGAGAGAGAGAGAGAGAGAGAGAGACATTCATGATGTTTTAATGATGAGAGAATCATTGATTGGTTGCTTCCTACCTGTCCTTCATTGGGGATTGGTATTGAGCCCTCAACCCTGATGGGGAATCAAACTGTGACCTCCTGGTTCTTAGGTGGACACTCAACCACTGAGCCACATCAACTGGGCCCAACATACTTCTTAAGGCCCAAAGCAAAATAATAATACTTTGTCCAGGAAGAAGTTAATGACAGACAGATTCCTGTGTCTTGCTTGTGATATTTTGTTTCATATGGCCCTCTTCTTGGCAAGAGTGCACCATTGGTTGACCCCATGGAATGGGACAGAGAACAGTGGAGTGGCCCTGAAGGAGCTGTTACTTAGTCCAGGTCCTGGCTAATGTGGCCTGGGGGTGGCGCTGGGAGTTTTTAAAAAAGCAAATAACATTAATTAGTTTTATGTTAATTGGACTGGTACCGGAGAAATTAGGCTTTTTTTGAGTAGCCTTTTCAAAACACACATGCTGTATTCTGATACCAAGTGGGGGCTGAAACAAGGTGTTGCTAATTAATTTTTTTTCATCTCCTTCCCACCCCCTTCATTTAAAAACACTTATCCCTATGTCTCTTGTTTTAAAAAGTAGATTGGGGTTTTCAGCCTTACCAATCAAAACATTAGTTGGCTTAGCCACACTTGTCAAAACTTATTCAACCATTATCACCTTTATGGTTATAGTTCTTAAAATAACAGTCTATAATTTATGATTCTTGTATTAAAAATTACTTTTACACACGTGCAAATTTTAACCAGGCCATTTTGACTCACCTGAGTGTGTTTGCAAGGCCATGAACTAACCCCTGGAATTCAAAAGTACTGTTGACATTTGACCCCATAATAAATATCTCCTCTAGGATTGGTCACACTTAGTGGTGGTCACATGTATGTCTTTGTACTGTACACAGACACACACATACACACACACACACAGGTGGAGATGGAGGTGGGGGATTGTTCTGCTTTCAGGTGGTATCCTCTTCAGCTTTTTGTTTTGGCGGGGGTGGGGTGGGGTGGGGTGGACTATTAACTGAGAGAAAAAAAATCTATCTTCTAACCAACCACCAAAAGAAAAGACTAAGAAAAAGCTATAGATGTTTAAAAGTCTGCATCAGAACTTGCCAGTATACAAGCTTATTTTTCCTGTGTATATGATTACAGAAAGGGGGATTGGGGTCTCAGTTATTTCCACTTCTTGCTGACTACACGTGACCTAATGTGAATGTCATAGAGCCACAGGGGGGGTCAGTTCGATAGAAGTATGTAGAATTGAAGCTGTGTCTGGAGTGTTGATCTTGGTAAATGATGGCAATGCTACTATCAGCAGACAGTGTTTTAAGCTGCTTCTTGAACACTGAGATTGAATTAGCTCAGGTCCACACACACTTGGGCGGACAGTCAGTGACCATTGAAGGGAACCCTGTGATAAGAACTCGTGGCCTTGGTGTCCTCCATGTCACGGGCCTAGTTGATGAGTTAGTACCTTGGAGGGGTGCTTGGCCTTCATTCCTGTGTCAGAATGGTGGGAAGTGAAATGTTGGCCACCATCTAGTTGAATCGCTCCACACACATTGCAGAAGCAAGGGGGTGTCCTGTGCAGTTTTCCCTCAACCTCAAACTGATCTTGTAGGTGGGATTCAAAGAAGCACACGGGCTATGTCGGTTTAAAGAATCAGGGAGCGACTTGTTACATGAACAGCCTGCTGCAGACTTTATTTTTCACAAATCAACTACGAAAGGTAAATGGATGGTATTTCTCTCCCCAACCTCCACCCACCCTTTTCTCTCAAGTGTTAAAGCACATCGAAATTCTTTTGCCGGCCTTTGTCTTACCTCTTCCCGTACCACAGTTCTGTCTTCAGAAAGAGCCCCTGTTTGATGCTTGTGCGTATTTTTATTCCTCGGTGTTTGGACACTTTCAAAGCTAACTGGGGTGATCAGAAGTTCTCTACAGCTAATAATTCTGACTTTGAGCTAGAAGTAATACGGGTTTGTTTTAAATTGGAAAGCCATGAACATCATTTGAAAACTTCTTTATAAAAATTCTTCAGTTAGAAAACTACTGGCTGTGACATACAATTTTCATCTAATATAGGTAAAACTTATTTTTGTAAGGATAGTTAAGCCAGAACAAATCTCCTTTGAATCTAACGTAGGAGTGTCGTGAGCAGCATGGAGCTGTGCAGGCAACATGGACTCCTGGTTGTGGGGGCACCACGGCTGGCCTGCTGGCTCTCTCTTATGTTCGCACTGTTCTTCTAGTTCATTACCACGGAAGGGTTTTATCATGGGGATAGCTGACTATGGGTAGTTTCAGTAGCATTTGTTTCATCAAATCCTTTGTTTACAAGTAATGTTAAGTTTTAAAAGGTTGCTCCGAGAAGTATGACATAAGTATGGTTCTCTTTTGGATGGTAATTAAAATTTTTTTGTCTTGTTTTTTTCTAGTTTGTTTTTAAAGACTTTTGTGATTTAAAAAACACACTTTCTGGCCTATTTAGGGGATAATTAAAAGCCTTATTAAACTACCGTAGCCATTGTGATATCAGAAAGTAAGTATACTTTCACATCAAATTTCACTTTTATGACTTGTTTTAGGCCGTGTACATGATGCCAACAGAGGGTGATGATTCCTCCAAAAGTGTCCCTTTAGCATTGCAGCGGGTGTTCTACGAACTGCAACACAGCGATAAGCCCGTAGGAACCAAAAAGCTAACAAAGTCATTTGGGTAGGTATTCAAATCGGCCTTTCCATTCTGCAGCTTGTCTTATGGATGAGTGAGTTGCTAGAAGAAAGGGAGCAGAGTGTTGGCATTTAATTATGTCAGAGTGTTTTTATCATTGCATTTTAGTATTTGACTTCTTTGGAAAATAGGCGCTTGGCTTTAGAAAATGGGGCTTGAGGAATAAGTCACGACCTAAAGCTTTACCTGTCAGGAAAAGGACATGTATAGTTTTTAAGCGAACGTGTACTTACTTGCAAACATGACCTCTCGTAGTAAGTTGTTTAGGACAAGATAAAGTTGTGAACATTTGGGTGTCCCGATAAAATTTAGTTTATCTTTTAATTATTACCCCACCCCACCCCCAAATAATCTTCTCAGAAAATGAATTTGAGAATAGTGGCCAATTATTTTACTGTGTAGTTTTTAAAACCCAAGCTGCTTGTTAATTTATTCTTATTTGAAATTTCAAAGTTTCAATATAAATGTCCGTTTTCTCTTTCCAAGGTGGGAAACTTTAGATAGCTTCATGCAACATGATGTTCAAGAGCTCTGTCGAGTGGTAAGTATTAAGCTATCATTATATACTACTGTGTCTGCAGCTGTTTTCAAGTAAAACCTCAGACAGACCTGCCTCATGTCACTATAATTCAGATATACCCATCTTTGTTCAGGACCAAAATTAGACCAGAAGGAAATACCAGTATCTATCTAGTTAAAAATCCAAAAAGGATGAAAATAAGTTATTTGAAAGGGAAGTATGAGGGGAAATTCAAATTAAATAGTAGGTAGCATATGTTTAATGTGTTAGCCTGGAGTATCTATTGTACATGAGTTGTTAGAAGAGAAATCACAGGTTGGCTACGTGACCGCCCTGACTGCCCTGCTGCTCTTCAGAAGGGTGACTGTTACTGCCTTGCAGCGTCCAGCCCCTCCTTTGCACAGACATTCTGGCTGAGGCAGAGCTCTGTGTGGGTGATTCTCCCCCAAACCAGCTCTAGCCACTAGCAAATCCCATTCTTCCAGTTGTGATGAAAGACACACAAACATACAACATGACATGGCTATTCAAGGTGATTGGCTGGGCAAGGTGTGTTTTCTTTTTTGCAGCACTAGCTGGGTTGAATCCAGTTCATTAAATATCCATGGACAAACCAGTCAATCCTGTTGACAGGCTCAACCTCATTAATCTCTTGGTGTGGACCAATACGAGTTAAGTTTAGTGCTCAATTACATGCTTTTCCCCAGAGGTAAAATGAATATAAAAAAATGCTTCTAAAGGCACTACAGATTACTAATTCATTCCAAAGGCTGTATAGAGAGTTAATCTCAACTATTGCATGTAGATATTTTTGTAAATATCCAACCACGAAAGAATATGTTTTTGATAATTGCATGCCAAAGATCATAATATTTATAGTCTAGAATTTCTTTGACCATTGACATTTCCTAGTCAAAATTAGTGAATATTTATTAAACATAACATTTTCCTAAAGCCCAAACTTTCTCTTCCAGTTGCTTGATAACGTGGAAAATAAGATGAAAGGCACGTGTGTAGAAGGCACCATACCTAAATTATTCAGAGGCAAAATGGTGGTATGTGGCTCTCTATCTTCAAGAATAATTTTAAAATACTTTAAAATGCTAACAGTGTTCTGATTAATAATGTCATGTCCCCTTCCTCTGTAGTCCTATATCCAGTGTAAAGAGGTGGACTATCGATCTGATAGGAGAGAAGATTATTATGACATCCAGCTGAGCATAAAAGGAAAGAAAAACAGTAAGTTGTATGCACGCAGTGTCCCGCTGCCTGTCTGGTAATTTCTGTTGTGGTTTAGTGCTTCCTTACAGAGGTGCTTGTCATTGAACTATAGCACAGACCGCCACGTGCACGAACGCTGAGTGCACAGCTCACCCCGTGAACACTCACAGCCCTGCCAGGCCCTTCCCATCGCTGCCGCCTCCTCAGGGGAAACCATTACTTGAGTTCCTAACATCCTGTTATAAGTTGTATTTGCATGTGGTAAATATTTATGTAGGATGTAGTGCCTTTCTCACTTTGCTCAGCATTATTTCTGTGCAATTCACCTCTGTTGTGAGTGGCAATAATTTGGTCATTTTCATTAGCTTACAGCATTCCACTTTGGAAATGTAT